TGTGTTGTACATGGATAGAATAGTCAGGAGCTGCCAAGGCGATGAGGGTATTGGTGTAGGAGATGTGAAGTCGAGAAGGTTGCTGTGACAGGACGCAGCCTTGGCGGAGACAAGCGCGAACCTTTAATGGTTTCGACTTAACGCCATTAACTCTGAAGCAGTACCTGCTATCAGAATACAGCGATTGGATGGCCCGTTGCAACTTACCACTGATCCCATATGCTCGCAAGCATGCCTTATGACTGTTTCTAGGATCCGGTCATAAGCTTTCTGTAGGTCGCGCTGTCTGCTTCCTCCCATCTGAATGGATTGCGACTTCGTTGCTGACTGTTATATTCGTCGTTGTTTGGTCGATCTTCGTCAGCCATTGTCGTGTTGCTATGCATCTATCTGGTAGAAGACGACAAGCAGGTTCCGATCGCCGACTTTTCGCAGCCTGCCTCAGTTCCCAAACTGCGTGCGCGGCCCTTGATATCCAGCCAATATGATTTTCGATGGCGGCAATATCATGAATTTCAGGTGGGTAAGTTTTCACGGTTTCGAACCCTCCTCCTTTCTCATCCGGGCTTGGGACCGGCAACGGCGGATTCATACAGGTCTATAATTTTCAAGTGTTCTCGAGTTTCTTTCTTCTAAAGCATCGCAGTTAACGGAGATTTACTGTTTCTCTGCTGTTCCCGTTTCAGGAGATACCTGATAAACAGTAGTTTTGCCATGGCAATTGCTTAATTTGTGTCCGCCATAATTTAGAGTGTTGGCTGAAATATGATCTGGGCCAAAGCTTATTCACCGTTTATTTAAAACAAGTCTGCAACGACTTCCCTTGGTAAAATTTCATGGACGTCGTAGGTCGCTTTTATTACGCAATCCATGACGACAAAAATGTTTTGACAGTGATCGGACAAATCTGTCACAGAAACATCGGCGCACATCTTCCATCGCCTTCTGCTCTGCTGTTCTCTCTTTTACGTGAGTTCTAATGCTGGTAATATACGGATGTGGCAAATTTCTCTTCTGCACTTTTTCACTATTCGACCGTCTGCTGTAGTCGTACTCCTGTAACGTTCATGACCTTCGTTCAATGTTGGTGGCGCTGTTTTGTGCATATGATACTGTATTCAATTACATTCTTAAAAGTTATTTCAGGTCTCTTCCTTTTCGACGCCGTACATTTGTTTTTGTCCAAATGTGTGAACTTCACATCTTCACTTCTCTTTTCACCCATTTAACGAACTTGCCGTAATTGATGCTCAGAACATCATCGAACGTGACTTCACTTTTCAAATTTCCTGACAAAATGCTTCACTAACATATCGATATTTTCTATGTATTGAACTTCTCTGCTCTAAGCCTTTTTCGATTTTTCAGTCTGTAATACCTGCTCACACGGTAGGATGATCGCTGCCGATGTTTAAGCGATTCCAAACTCCAATACCTTGCAGTAAATGATAATAAAGTCTATTTCCTTGGCATTGCCGTGTTTGGCGTTTGTTTCATCAGTGCATAAAGAAATCGCTTAATATATAAACAACCGTTGCATTTGACAATGTTTGTCAGATGTTCATATATTAAATTTCGACAGCTTAGAAAGCCAGTAAAACCTTCCGTCGACTTGGTTTGTTCCATTGACTGTATTTAAAGTCACTGATAACGAAAATTTTATTGCACTCATCTATAATAATATAATCTTTCAGTTGTTCGCAAAAGTCTTCTGCGTTCTCGCCTAACGAAACCGCAGTTGAGGCATAGGCTTGTACGATTTATACTCAAAAAGTTTGCTGAATATTAATAATAAAGTGTAGCCGATGCGTTTCGATACAAAGTCACGCTTTGCAATAAGCGCTGCCCATTCATCGGGTACAATCATGTCACAGACGCTTTGCTGTCTTTCTTCTGCATCTCGCATATGAGTTGATGCCTTCTTTCACTTGAGATCCTAATTACCTCGTTGAAGGATGAATTTCCTCGGATCGACATCGTAGTCCTACTCGCTGCATACAACCCTACCCCTGGGGGGGGGGCATTTTTGTTCGTACTTCTCATCTCAGCATCTTACATTTTTCGGCAAAAAGTTTTCGTTTCTGTGTATATTGGGAAGCCATCTTAACGTCCGATGGCTCTTCCCCTCATCCCGGGATTAATCGGATTCTCGGTGACGCTCTGTGAAATTAGATTCGCTCAGTTTCTATCGCAACCACCTCTTCTCTGGCGGTTACCAAAATCACGTGCCTAAAATATGCTTAAACACAACGTGACAACCGACCTATCTTTCTGCTTATGCCAAAAGTTGGGTTGAGTAATACAGATGCATTTTTCATGCAGCAGGTGCTCCTCTCGCCAACTAAGGGAAGTGCTGCTGAACATTCAGTTGATTCGAGTGTTGTCAGAAAATCTATTGTCGAAATATTTCTAAATAAAGAAACTGTCAGAACTAACCATAGCAAAAATGGATCGTGAGACATTCCAAACGTAACTAAAATAGGCTGATTCACAGTCCCTACACAAATTATGAAACATTCGTGGTTAGAACGTTGCTCAATTTGTGTGGAAATCTGCTCTATACAGGTAATCGATTTCCGGCGAAAGATCGATCGACCAGAAGTCAAAATTGTTTACTCCATAAATTAAGCTAAGACATATATTACATCATGTTTTGTAAACAAACAAACAACAGAGTAATATACATTAAGTATGCATTTGCATACAGGGAGTTGTAAAAGTACAAATGGGGCTGCGCTTCTCTTTAAAATCAGAAGACTTGTGGTTGCGCTCCATACGCACAGCTAAACGAGACGCTTACAGGTCTTGCAAAGCCGCAGCGTTTATGTCGCTACGCTGATCATCCGCGACGGCGTTTATCAGCTGAGCTTCAACAACTGACTACCACGGTTCTTCTGGGAACGTAAACATAAAATTAAATTATTGGAAGATGCATCGAAAAACCTCAGCATCCAAATGCTGAGTTAAACGGCAGTATCAGACTCAGCGAGTTATGATACAACAATAGCCAAACACAACCCGTCCAAAAAAGTAACAGACAAAACAACTGAAAACAGAATACATTAAATAAAGTAAACAATTCAGACATCAGTCCGGTTATCCAGCAACGTCCACATAGTTCGGGCTGTCGCACAATCGACTTATTAAAGCCTTGTTTGTGATTCTGAAATTAAGAGGGGGGGGGGCATGAACGCCGGTAGACGACCACGGCAACGACGACACTCATAGGTCATAAGTCAATCGAGGTTAGCAGCGAGTGCGTATTTGGCAATGCTGACTCTGTTGACAAAGTTGAATCGCTTTCCGCGTTTCTTCGCCGCTGCTTTTCACCCTTGTTCGGCTCTGAAATGTGCACATATTGCGCGTGAACAGTTTTCAGGCGTTGCCTTTTACTTGTTACTTCATAAATGTACCACATGCCTCCCATCAGAAGCATGCCCACTACGAAGGCGGCTGAAGATATCACAAATACAGATGAAATGGTCAGTCCTTTGACGAACATCAGCTGCTGTTCAGCCGAAACCGGCGCCGGTTGCGCACCAGGGCAAGGGACGCACATCGCAGTTGAAGCTACAGAGTACAGTTGAAGCTACAGTAATTGCTTCGGAGCAACGCAACGTACAACGCGCGTATTCAAGACTTTTACCTTTATTCACATAAGGATGGGTGGCGGTTGTGCTGATATCGGAATCGTCCAGTATAATTGGTCGGATTGGACCAGTGGACAGAAATTTGTGCGGCACCTGTGAAGACAACGCTTTCATCCTTTCCACATACTTTTCGTCACTGCACGATGAACTCGATGGACACTAAATCGGCGATTAGCAAACCTTGTTACTGAGGCAGCAGCGAGATATCGTATGACTACGGTAATACGGTCGCAGAGCTGATCGAACAATTCACACAGCTGTTTCTGTTCCTCCACGGAGACCCGTTTGAAACGTGCATCCGGGGCAGTAACAATGGCTAAATTGCTTAGTGACCGAGACCACAGACGTCTGAAATCTGCGAAAAATGGTACGGTACGGCTGATGAAATCCGACCGGCGACGCCTACAGTTACCGGCCGATGAAAGCCAACGGTGACTAACGTGTGTCTACTGGGTGGCGTACAGGAGTCGCAGCGTTGCCAATCGAAAACGGAGCATCGCTGGAACTTGTGGCCTTCGCCAACGCGACTTTGCGTTAGATATCGGCATCTGAGGAATCTCTCAGTGCATTGTTACTTGAAAGAATGTTTCAAGCGACTGCACTGTCCCGGACAAACACTATATACCGCGGCGGTAGGAAGTCCACCGAACTCAACTTCAAAGTATGCATTCACAGTATAGAGCAAAGTTTTAAGTATATTCTTCTGTCTAAATCACTGTGATCGATGTACAACGCATTTAGGTGAGATTTTTTTCCAGTGTTACGCTGTTGATAAAATCATTTCTCCGGTCATCTGTGTTTCGCTCCGTTCTTAACTTAAAATATTTTGTTTATTTTAGGTTGACTGTAATTAAAATTATTGTATGTTTGTGCTCGACCGATGACATCTACTGAGAACACTTCCTTCTTAGGGTTGAGTTTCATCGTATGGTCAAATTTCTTGTAGGTTTTTTTGGATACAATTGTATTTTTCATCGGTTATACTCAAACGAGTTCAAGGAAATGCATCCTGAACATCAATGATGGAGGGGGGATAAGGAACTATCTCCAAAGCGGTATGATTGAGAAAATGTGACGAAGCCATTTCCATGGTGGTAACGCTTTCGACAGCGAAGATTAAGAAGACGTCTACGACGTTTTCAGCCGAAAATTAGCGAATCCGTTGTTGGTTAACGGCGCTGTTCACAGTGTGAGTTTACTGCACAACAGCTTATTAAAGATGTTAATCGATTTCTTTAGTCGTCAATAGTCCATTTTCTAGGCACAAGGTCTTCCGATACGATGGTCGTAAGCTCACAGAAAAGAAACTAAACAGACTAAATTAACTTATTTTAAGTCGGTTTTTCAGACAACACCACAGTATCCATAGACAGAAACTGAGCAGAACGAGAAATAAAGTTGCAGGTAAAACAGTCTTATTTGCTGTAGAAAATATTAATTATTCTCATTAAAACAAACTTTTACAATATATAAATGAAAACCATAGGCAGTATAAAAAGATCTCTTAAGCGAAACAATGCACGAAACTGCCTGGTTCACATAGAAACATCTAACATCTTAACCATCTGCACAGTGAATCAGCTTATATGCCGTAGAAGACCCCTTTTGGTGGGGTGAAACAGTATCGAAATAGCGAGCCCGACACCAGTTAGTGAACCCTAACGCGATAAGCAGCAAATAGTAGGAAGGAAATAACCGAGACAGAGGTTCATCAGGCCGTGGGTAAGAGGAGAGCGAAACGAACACGACTCTAGCCTCGTAACGCTGTCTCAAATTTGCCACCTTCACATCACGAATATGATGTTCGCGAAAGCAAAGACGCGGGACTGGACGAGGACGAGCCTTACTGAAACGACTCCTACTAGGAGTTGACGGACACACGGTCGGTATTGACACATGTGTCTGTGCTTAGAGAAACATCGTCTGCATGGGATCAGACTAAAGATTATCCCGCTCCACAGTCACAATCGATTTCGCTGAAGATGATCGGGCTAGAAGGGCTCAAAGGCCTGAAACTATTGTACGAATATTCGATACTGGCGCTTTCTCAGCTTAACATCGCAGTCGATATCAGCAGAGGCATCGATGCAAACCACCAGCAGCTCATGGATGTCATCAATACTACCATCCAGTCATCTAGCCGGGCAGCAGTATACACGAAAAAACAACGTACCAGATCTGCATAGAGGCAGCTGTTGGCCACAGGAAGCAGTAAGAAGGACTGGATTGAATGAAGGCAACTGGACGACGAGTACACTGCATTGTACAAAAAATATGGAGAAAGATCCGGAAGGACTATGACGAGAAATGGGGACAAGGGATAAAAGAGGCCTATTAAAGCAGAATAGCTTGAAGGCCCCAGAAAAGGGCAGCCTTTTAAATAGCGGGCCCCGGTAGCAGTGAAGAACAAAGGTGAAATAAAGACCGCAAATCGCCATCACAGGCAAACGATATGCACGAGGTCCTACAACAACTTCTGTCCGCTAAGGTCGAGGTAAACCGAAGACTGCCACCCATGTCACATGAGACGAAGTACAGTAGGCAGTCAAGAATATTAGCAGTGGTAGATGTTTTGGCAGGGTCGGCATAAAACCAGAACATCTCACGTCAGGGAGGAATGAGCATGTTCAAAGGCCGAACAATCGACCGAGTAAGTCCGGCTGAAGAAAGCACCAAAAGTGACTATTCTATTAAAGAGAAGTGATGGTGAAGACCTCCAGAGCTATCGCCCTATCGCTCTCCTGTCACAAACTATAATGTGTTTAGGCGAAC